CAACCAAAAGTTGTACGTGTGGCTAGTTGTACCCTCATCATAATTGTAAACATTGTTAATTATCTAATAAAAAGCCCTCGGCCATAAAGGTCACCTTAACACTGAAAAAAAAAAAATTTAAAATTTATATTAAAATGTTTCCAAAAACCTATAGAATTTATTTATAGTTTTAAAAATTTAAATAAATCTTTATAAAAATTTTATTTATAATTATTTGAGATATCTATCTTTTTGCACCAGACTATAGCATACAAAACTTTGTTATTACAAATAGTACAAAAAATATATATATATATAGCTGCTTTTGCAGATAGCTAAACTAGCTTTATACTAATAAAAATACATGTTTATCAGTTATAATAGCCAAAAAAAAGTTTAAATTATGAGGCTCTATATAAGTCTACTCTAGTTTACTTATTAATTATATACTAACTCTAAAAAGCTAGATAAGTCTTAACTACTCTAATATATTTAGGTTGCAAATAATTTAGCCTAAGCTTTTACTTTTCCATATAATTTATATATATTTGTATTAGTACAAATTAAGTAGTATATGGTATATTTATGTAACTATTTATATAAATTATTCAATAAAAATATAAGCAAGGCCTTATTTTTTTTTTTTTTTTAAAAAAAAATATATTATATATATATATAGTATACTGTATATATATATCAAAATTTATTACAACTATGTCTTCTCTAACATAAAATTTTAACTAATTCTAATGCTAATAAATCTTAGTATATATATATATATTCATTTAGTATACACTATAAAATAAGTTAAAAAAACTTGTATATAAGTTATTTATTTTAGCATGTAAGCAATTCAAATTTTAAAAATAAAAATAATTATAAATAAAATATTATTTTTTATTTATTTTTATTTTTTATTTTTTTATAGCTTACAGGATATTTTTTTTTTTATTACGATTTACAAAATGATCTATTATTATTTAAGATGATAATTAAAAAATAAAAATAGCATTGACGAATAAATAAAATGTTAATGTATCTCAATTATTTATAGGGCTAAAATTCATTTCTTGACTAATAAGGTTAAGCGATTTTCTATTTTGATAATTATACTATATAAAAGGTTTTATTTATGCAGTAAAAATAATTTACCTTTTTAATTTTTATTTGTAGTATTTTTTTTATATACAGCTGCTGTTCAGTAAGCGAAAAAAATTTGAGCACAATTTAGCTTGTGCAGCACTTCGAAGCGCTGCTCTTATCGCTAGCTAATATAGAGATAGAGTATCTTTACAATCGGTTGAAATTTGTGAAATCAAACAATCAAAAAAAGCTAACAGCCAACTTGAGGAAACAATTGCCAAAAATAAACGTCAATCCAACCAAAATTTCCCAGAAAAGTAATTCAGCGTAACACCAAGTGCCAATGATTATTTCTAAGCGCTAAATAACTAACTAAAACTAAACCTAAATCTGTGCCCGTCTTCTTGCATGTCTCAAATTTAAGGACCAATCTATATACTACGTATACGAAACAAACACGGCGCAGTTTTATAGTGCAGGGAATTATTTTTACAATTGTGGAAATAATTCTCTTACACCCCTGTATCACTAACAATACGCATAAGTTTGGGTTATAATGCAGTTACGACGCAATTGTTAAATCTAGTAAAACCTTTGGGAATCTACGTACGTACGTACTAGGTCACAAATTATCGGGTTTAGTTTATGTACGTACCTAGACTACGTATACATTGTTGGATATATGAATATAAAACATATATTTCGATCAAAACAGATTAATTCTTAATACATTTCATACGACAAAGTTGATTTTTTGGATCTCTATTTTTAAACCAGATGACGAACTCTTGATCACATCTATCTTTTTTTTAATACTACGTAGCACCCAGTCGTGTTAAGCTTATCATAAAAGTCTATATTCCGAACCT